CAGTAAGTCGGGCTCATTTCCGGTGAGAGTTGGACTCCGCCAGGGCTGCCCTTTGTCACCGATTCTGTTCATTACCTTCATGGACAGAATTTCTAGGCGCAGCCAAGGTGTTGAGGGGATCCGTTTTGGTGGCCTTAGGATTGCGTCTCTGCTTTTTGCAGATGATGTGGTCCTATTGGCTTCATCAGGTCGTGATCTGCAGCTCTCGCTGGATCGGTTCGCAGCCGAGTGTGAAGCGGCCGGGATGGGGATCAGTGCCTCCAAATCCGAGGCCATGGTTTTGAGCCGGAAAAGGGTAGAGTGCCTTCTCCGGGTCAGGGGGGGTGTCCTGCCCCAAGTGGAGGAGTTTAAGTATCTTGGGATCTTGTTCACGAATGAGGGAAGAAGGGAGCGGGAGATCGACAGGCGGATTGGTGCAGCATCTGCCGTGAAGCGGGTGCTGTACCGGTCCGTCGTGGTGAAGAGAGAGCTGAGTCAAAAAGCGAAGCTCTCGATTTACCGGTCGATCTACGTTCCTACTCTCATCTATGGTCATGAACTCTGGGTCATGACCGAAAGAACGAGATCGCGGATACAAGCGGCTGAAATGGGTTTCCTCCGTAGGGTGGCTGGGCTCTCCCTTAGAGATAGGGTGAGAAGCTCGGTCATCCGGGAGGGACTCGGAGTAGAGCCGCTGCTCCTCCACGTCGAGAGGAGCCAGTTGAGGTGGCTTGGGCATCTGTTTAGGATGCCTCCTGGACGCCTCCCTGGTGAGGTGTTCCGGGCACGTCCCACCGGGGGGAGGCCCCGGGGAAGACCCAGGACACGCTGGAGAGACTATGTTTCTCGGCTGGCCTGGGAACGCCTTGGGGTTCCTCCTGAAGAGCTGGAAGAAGTGGCTGGGGAGAGGGAAGTCTGGGCCTCCCTCCTTAAGCTGCTGCCCCCGCGACCCGACCCCGGATAAGCGGAGGAAGATGGATGGATGGATGAGATTCATTGACTTATTCAATTACACCAAACTGGGTTTGAACCCAGCAAAGACGCCGCCAGACTGAAGATGACAAGTCCCCGTAGCATAAACAAGTACACACACACACACACACACACACACACACACACACACACACACACACACACACACACACACACACGGCTAACCCCACTGAAATATTAAGTGTGCACCCTCAATACGCCAGCAGGTAACCAAGAACAGCTTGTGTGTTTTAAGTTAATGGAGCTACTGGGCTCAGCGTGAGTGTATTGGTCCTCACAAACACAGTATAACAGGAATGTGTGTGGCGTGCAAACACTGCATGAAAAGTGGGATTTTCGTCAATATGCGGCACTGTAGATTGTCGTGGAACTTCAGGTTAGCGGCAGTTTACGACCATTTGCAGGCTTCGCCGAAAACTCCCGTAAATTGTCAGAAATTGACGTGGACTTTCTTAGGCAGTGTTCCCCCCATGCCTCCCCCCCATGGAATTCTAGGGGAGGCTTTAACATGTAAATGAACATGCTGTGAGCTATACAAATGCAAATCAGGGTTGCAGGGGGGGTTTTACTCCAAGTGACATTTTTCTAGAAGGTAAGAAAATCTCTGATACAAAGAGATCAGGCTCAGTATAGCCTCTTACATTTTAGCTTGAATTGATTTATTTAATTAAAGTATAGAGACCAAAACAGATCTTTAGCTGACAGAGCAATACATTTAGAACAGTAATTATTCAAAAAAAAATTGCATTTAAGATAAAAAATAAAATGTTGTCTGTCAATATGCTCAATTCACAATTACTTAAGTGGAAAAGTTTCAAGAAATGAGTCTGAGATGATTCACTTTATAACATGGCGCATTATCCTGTTGGAAGTAGCCATCAGAAGATTGGTACACTGTGGTCATAAGGTCCGGCTAGGTCAAGATCCGCAATTGCAATCACACCAAACAGGAAAAAGAACATCGACAAATTCCAGTTCGTCAAATTAAAATATAGCAGCAACAGATCGGTGACTAGAAATTATAGCACAATTCTTATATATATAAAAAAAAAAACTAACACCGTTTATTTAAATGATTGGATCCAAACTATTGGTTATTCACCAACGAGGAAGCAGATTTCTCATCTCCATCAAAATATTTATTTTATACCGAGGGACTTAAACTTTAATCAAATCCATTCAAAAGAAACTTCTTATTATAGGAATGAAAAGAGATGCTGAGTTTGGGAGTAGTGAACAAGTTCATTAAAAAAAAAGCAGTTTTGAATTATCCTTATCCCCGTTACAAAAATCTACAAAAATATAAATATATATTTGGGCAGAAACTGAACATACGCTGGATGATGGTGGGATTTTTTTAATATGCCATATTAAATTAAGCGCTCACAGGGTTCATACAGGAATGAGGGACTCTAATTTAATGCTATTTTAATGCTATTTGAAATGATTTTAATGCCATCAACAAGAACCATGTACACAAGTTATTAGTGTACATGAAATATGAAGGAGCTGCAAGCACAGTTCCAGCTAGCTTTTTCTCCGCCTGGAGTGATATAATATATCTGACGAAATTGTTTTTATAAGCATTTTTTATTAAAGAATTATAAATACTTCGATAAACATATTTAAATAATTTTAGTGCCAATTAAGGCCTTGATTTAAAAAAAAAATGAATGATTTTTTAATTATTTTTATTGATCCGCGGAAACCCTGGTTCATCTCGCACATGCTCTTTACGATCTCCAAGAAACTCAGAGCGGCACGGTGTGCAGCCACAGTGGAGGATGTATGCTTTGCTTTGTGCAGGCGGTCTGGAGCAGAGTATGTGGGATTTCGGGGTAAAACTCCTCTTGGACGCGATGGCGACTCTGCATCGAACAAGACGAACTCAAAGAAGAGATGCTAGCGGTAAATATATGTTCGATTACTGCCTGCTAGGCTAAAAGCAGCCTAGCCTAAGCTACGGCTAATAGCAGCCTAGCCTAAAGCTACGGCTAATAGCAGCCTAGCCTAAAGCTACGGCTAATAACAGCCTAGCCTAAAGCTACGGCTAATAGTAGCCTTGCAAGAACAAGCTTTATTAAAGTGTATTTTTTGTGATTCACAGGAAGCAGTACACCGTCTTCACAACTTGGAGACTAATTGCAGGTGCTATGAACCGGAGCAAGGGTAAGATTTAAAGAATATGCTTCATTCTGCGGTAAAAGGAAATGGATGCCAATCATGGCTGTACATTTTGTTTTCACAGACCTCCTATTTGCTCGGAGCCATATCAGCAAGTCCAGATTGGCACGATGTTGATAAAGACGACATTGTGTGTAAGTGACTTGTTTTAATGTTTTCTCCTTCCTTGTTACTGTGACTTGCGTTTGATTTTTTATTCATACCACTGTCATTTAATTGTTTTCCAGCTGCCTGTAAGACGTATTTTCAGACGGTACGCAGGAGCTTCAGATATACGCAGCCAGCCAACACGCTGCGTGCGGAGGCTGCCAGGCAATCTGCTCGGAGTCGGGCCAGAAGAAAGAGGGTAAGACTTTATTTGGTGACTATTTTTCAGGTGCATTAATAGATGTGTTGTGTCCATAGGCAGTGCGCTGATTCATTGTTTTTTTTTCAGCTGCTGAAAGCGAGGCAGAGTGTGCTAGCAGATGAGGAAGTGGAACTCTGGAAGTCCGCCGTCGGCCTCAAGTCCGACGAAGAAGATGGCATCGTTGGCGGTGTCTCTGGATGGATTGTACGGTCGCCACCATTTCGTAGGCCGGATCTCACTGAACTCTGTGTTAAGCTGCAGTCCCGGTTAGAAGCGATGCCAAAGTACAGGGCCACGCACAGTAGGCGTCTGCACATCGGACCTGCCTCGGAGGGAATGCTGCCAGTTACCTCCAACCCCGAGGAAGCAAACGGACCGTTCACGGAGTTTTAATTTTTAGATACGCAAGTGTTTGGATACGCATTGTATATAGCTGTGTGTGTTTTAATAAAGCTCTTTCTTTGCATAAACAGCTTCCTGGCAAATGTTCATTTCCTGTATAAATTCATTCATGTCCTTGATGGTAGCCTAATAATTGTGTAGAAGGATAACATAAATACACAGCATATGAATGAATAAATATATGAATGAATAAATATATATTCATAAATATATATATATATATATATATATATATGTAAATATATATATATATATATATATATGCCAACCAATCACGAGCGACTTTACTTGTTTCCGTCCAATACTCAGTAAGAAAATTAAAGCCTGGCGTGGCCACGTGTGGTTTTGCTGCCAGTCACGAGTGATTTCATTTGTTTGAGAATAGTGGTTTCAGCCAATACTGAGTAGGTTATTCAAGCCAGACCTGGCCAGCCGCGCAGGTTTGCTGCATTCATATGCTAATTAGGGCCATTAGTACAGCTGATCGCTCTCCACATACGTCAGATTTCGTTTCCCACAATTTGTGGCACGACAAACTCGGACAAGCGCAGGTTGCAAATTGTCGGAAACTGACGAAAATCAGGGAGATCTGCGGGAGTTTACGGGGACGAAAATCTCACTTTTCATGCAGTGAAAGTTAGAGAGGTTATTTTAAGTGAGGAGGTGGATTCGTCACAGTCACAATAACCATGACAGGAAATTTTCATATCCTACAACAGGGATGTTCTTCTGGCAAACGGGTAGATAAATAAGGATCTCACCGAATTTGGTGGAAGCTGCACCTCGCTCGTTACATTCGCCATCGTCCCTCTAATTGTCTGCAACTGCGCATTGGGTGCAGAAGCCTGTTAAAGTGCAGTATTTTCAGAGCCCCAAGACCATACATTTTTGAGACGCTGATTGGCCATTAAATTATTAAATTCACCTAGCAATAGTACATGATTGACAGATTCTCTGCAAATGTGGCGCAGTCTGATCACAGCCCCAAGACAGAGATGGTAGGAGTCTGTCTGTGGAAATCCACAAATGAATGACAGTAGATACGGAAATGTAGTTTATATAATTTATTTTGCTTATAGGTACACACTCTGGAGAGTAAAACTGACATTTATGAGTTAATTTCTAAAAATATATTTTACGTTTCTCTCTTCTTATTAGGGAGGGCGGTGCCCCAGCGCCCCCTATGGGCCGGCCGCCACTGATAAGGAACTGTATTTAAGAAGGACTTTATGACTGTACTTTTAAAAATATTTATAAAATTACACTTAACTGCCTTGGGTGTTTCTTTATTTCATTATGATTTTTTGTATATCTAATGACTTTGCAACTATTGTAACGATGGTATATGGTTAGCTTTAATTTACTTGTCACTGCATTACATTGTTGTCTTACTCACATGTGATCTTCTGTGTCCCCACTGCCACAGTGTCTGCACAGGTTCTCCACTGACTCTGGAGTAAATCAGACCGCAGCTTTAATTCAATGCTACAAAATAAACTTAATGGTAATTGTTTTTGCGTTTGTTTTTTGGGGAGATTTTTTTTTTATTATTTTCATTTGTTAGTGTTCTTTTGAAAGTTGAACAACAATAATCCTCTGTGCATATCTCAGTCATCTAATCATCACTTTTTGATAAGGTCTGATCTCATAAACATATACAAGTCCTGTTACTGCACATTGTACACTGTACACTGGGCTGTGTTATGTGTAGTTTATTTATTAGAGATCAAGGTCATGTGTATTGAAATGTTCTTCGCTAATAATTTGACATAAACACTAACATGTTCAATATCTTAATGTTTCTAATTAGATAAAAATAGCTGACCTAACTACATTTTTTAGTGGGTGCATGATGATACACACAAGATAGCATTCCAGCCACATAAGAACTGAATAAAAAAAGTTCAAAAGACACGTAATTCTAATAGAAGTGTGTAAGCAATGTTGCGTCTCATGGTATTAACAGCTTCTGCTGTTGATGGAAAGTTCAGAGTCTGGTTTTCCAGGATGCACTAAGCAAACTGTAAAGACAAATAATAGACAGATAGAGGTCATGACACTTAATTAAACATTTTTAATATATTTTGATTAGACTTTCTATTGTCATTAAAATAAATCAATCATGTAATAAATCAATAGAATTCATAAACTACATTATATTTCAGGCAGAAATGTACAGTTTAAGTTAGCCAAAACTGTTTATCATCTTAAAAGTAATGATAGAAAATAGCATCACATTAATGTCAATGTGATTATTAGCTCACCACTCTCATAATAATCTTGTTTTCACTAAATAAAAAACATAAACTAGCATGTATACAAATATATTGTTATATAAGTCTATGTTCAGACATAGATATATATATGTAGATATAGATGTATGTGGAAAGAGACAGCACAGTACACAAAGGTTATATAAATTGATTTGTAAACAGACAATGTTCAACATCACATAGGAAACATACGTAAACATAGTGAAGTAGTGAAGTGGATAGATAGATAGATAGATAGATAGATAGATAGATAGATAGATAGATAGGATAGATATTTAACAGCACTTACTTTCAACACTTCACATGAAACCATATCTTGCTGGATGGCATGTTGGAGTCATACCTTTGCATCTCATAGATGCCCTTGTTAAGAGGGTGAAATGTAAAAATAATATTGTAGTTATCCAATTAAGACCTTTTTTGTTATAATAAAAATTAGTTTTTTATAATTTTTCTCACCTTATTGCTTCCAAACACCTTTTCATATCTTCTTGGGACTCTCCAAGTGAGTTAAGGAAAACTGTCCTTTTTTCAAGTGGATAAATTATCTAAGGATGAAAAGTTAATGCCCAACTCAGGACTTTACAGTAACAATATAAATGAAGAAGTGCCCTATTTGATTAACACTTTAAAGAATGAAAATCAGTTGTTGTGACATTAGATTTATTGGTTTTATGGACATTTGTAATAATTTTATTTGTTTTGCATTTTATAAAAGTATTCATTGTTTCTTAAAAAATTACAAACAAAGACATGTCTTACAGAAATTTATCTTCCTGAGACCCGAGCTCCTATTTGGAGTTTGTTTTTATAATTTCCAAGTTACATGGGATTAGTAGGACCTAATAAGCTTAATAACTAAACTGTGTCATGATGCCACAAGTAGTTTTTGAAAAACATTCTGTCCTCATATGAGGAAAGTTATATTATCTTTGTTTTTATTTTATTTTATGCAGTTTGGGATTAGAAGATCCATATTACCCTATACACAAAATTCTGCTTTCTACTATCAGCGGTTCTCTAAAAAAGCAATGTGTCCATATGAGGACACTGGGTCTATATTCTGAAATGACACAATAAAAGACATGATTGGCTGAAACATATAAATCCTGTTTATTTCAGACATTTGGGCATAACACAAAGGACAAATAAGAAGGGAGTATTTTAGGCAACTACGATGTTCTGTTAAAAAGTAACAGAAAACATCTGTCAAGAGGGTCCGTGTACCTTCAGGAAATTCGATTTTTTTCTGGAAAAACAAAACGAAAAACGGAAACTACTTCCGTTTTTCAATTTAAAATCAAAAACGGAAATCAAAGCCGTTTTTTCCATTTTTGTCAACACAATTTAGAAACGAAAAACAAGAAAAACTAAATGAAAAAAACGGCCCGTTTTTCGATTTCCCCGATTCTTTTATCCATTTGCTTTTTAGGATTGAAAGGCGAAGACGGTTCCACGGATCGCCCGGAAGTGCAGGAAAATACTTAAAAATAAAAGCCTAACATAATGCAAGCCTGAAGAAAAAAATAATGAAGCACAGAGATGTTTTTCTAATAAAAATGTGTTTATTAAATGTATTACATTATTGTGTTTTTTATTGGTGGATCATGAAACACAAAGGCTAATGCTGTAAACCAAAAGTATAGAAGCAAATTGTATTTGAAGATTTTTCTCATCAAGCAAAACCCACCTTCATATAGGATTACTGTCTATATGTGTCTTGATTTTTGTGAACAGTACATATTTTTGAAGCTAACGGAGAAATTAAGATTTTATTGATTTAATTTATTTATCTTCACCCACTACAAAAACAAATACTGCCACGGGGACAGAGTGCCTCATATATTTCCTATTTGTCATTCAAAAATTGCTACTTAAAAAGTTAAACAGTTCCTGTCTGGGCTAGAAAAACTTCTAGTTTGTAGCATCTATAGCGGCTGTTCCTCAGTGCTTCCTCTCTCCTCGATGGAAATTTTTGATTACATTTTTACTAAACAACTGTTACAATTGCCATTATTGATTAGCCTGTAGGTGGAGATTTTTATTCAAAAGAAAACTGAGATCCAATCTAACCAATAGCTAGATAAGCTGCATTGCCTATCTTTTCTAAGTCTGTTATAGAAAGTGCAATTCTTTGCTCATTTGCTGAATAAACAGATCCAGAAAGCTGGTCCTGTGCTGAACATCCTCTACCAGAACCGCTCAGCTGATTGTCCTGAAAAGAAAGCTGCATAAGCTGCTGAAGATGATGGATAACTTTACTCCTCTCCAAAACACAGTGAAGAATCAACAGAGAAAGGGACTTCTTCATGTTCTTTAAGATGATAGCTCCAGAAGATACTTCCTGCCAGCGGCTCACGTTCTTCTATTCTATTTTTGATTGATTTTTTTTAATATATTTAAATTTCCCTTTAGGCACTAAGAGTTTTTCATGTTCATTTTGGCTTGAAGTGTTGCAGATTTGTTGTTAATTCACATATTTGACCAAGTGGTTAATATTTTATTAAAGTGTTACACTATTTACTTAAACAACTGCTTATACCAAATCCCCACAAGGTGGCAGACTACCTGAAGGAACATGAACCAGTCCTTGGTAGGCTACACATACTGGAGACCTTATTTCTCGTTGCCAAAGTGACCCTTTGGCAACGAGAAATAAGGTCTCCAGTATATGTAGGCTACGTATAGTGTTGACCACAGTATATGTTATGGGATACACAACTCAACATTAAAAGAAATTTGGCACAAGTTCTAAAACATGGCCTGATATGGAGCTTAGTGAAATTAAAAATGTAACTAGGACCTGTTCCTGTGTTTATAAGATGGAATATTCATAATTTCAGTGCTGCTGAACATTAAAAAGCCATTGTGATTAATACATAATAAAGTAATTTCTGATTAAATATTTACATTTCCTGGTTTTTCAGTGTGAGTCCTGGTTTTAACATTTTTAAACCAATGACAGATTCAAAACAACAGCTACAATAAGTGGTATCAGTAACAGGTTTATTTTGATTAAAAAAGAAATAGAGACCAGAAACAGTTTAAAGAACACAATGAAAACTTTATGTAATTGGAAACAGCTAACTTGTCAACCGGAACTCTGTTGGCTACAGAACCACAAAACAACAAAAATAACAATAATCTACTCTCTAATAACAGGCTGAAGAATTTCGATGACTTCCCCTAACCCTGTCAAACAGAAATGCGCTTCCCACAACATGCTGTCCCTGCATTTCGGGCAGTTGGGTGAGGTCATCACCCACTGGGAAATGCAGGCGTTGCACCCAACAAGACAACAGGGGGCCACCACAGGTACGGTCATCACATCTGAAAATGAAAGTGACACATCACTAATTATTATCAATAAAGGTCCTTACCTTCTTGGCATTTTCAAACATGCTATCATTTCACAAACTGCTAAATATCCCTAAAGAGATTTACAGGGGTCCGCAGCTAAACCAGTCAGGAAGAAAACCAGCATGGCGTCCAGTAAAGTGAGTAAATAGTGTGCAGAGTAAGAGTACGTATGTATCAGTATGTATGTATCAGAAGAAAGACCAACGTCTCAGGTATATTCTGTATTCAGGTCATTTTTATATCTTATTACTGTGCAGAGTTATAAGCCATCTAATGGAGATTGTCACCATGTGACAAGTTGCCCCTCCACAGGGTAATTTGTCACACTACAGTATATGGGCTAAGATGTCACACTGGGTTTTGCAACCAATTAAATAAGGGCAAAATTAATTTTGTTGTTATTTTTTAATATTAAGTGAACAAATGACAATAACTCACTTTTACTGCTTATGAAATAATACGCAACATGCATTACAAAACTTAAAGTGGTGCATGAACAAAAGGAAATTTCACGAGTGGGACTCAACTGAGCTGCAGTTTGAGCATTGCTTATGTAGGTTGAATTGGCAGGAGCAAATGCATCATATGAAATAACATGAAATAAAATGAAATATTATGAAACATTGATTATAAAACGGATTCTGGGACAAAAGAAAACCTAAAAAAAAAAACGTATTTTATTAGTCAGAATCCTCATCTGAGTTACAGTTTTGGCATATGTAGACTTAATTGCCAGGTGTGCATTCTTCATGTGCCCATCCTTTGCATATCATGCACCCATCCTGGGCAGCTGTTTTCAAATGGCTCTATGCAGACCAGGCACGGGGACTCATCTTCTGTCTGAAGTTTTTCTTGTTGTCCTCTGTTTCTTTCCTGTGCTTTGCTTCTTTGACATTTTAGATTTGGTTGCCTTGCATTTCTTTTCCTTGTCCCTCCTTCTCAGGTGTGTCAGTGAGAATAGAAGTTTTTCTCTTCTTTTTCTTCTGGGCTACTTTTTTCTTGGACCAGCTTTTGGATGAGGCCTAATATCCATCCATCCCTCCATTATCTGACATGCTTGTCCCAAATGGGGTTGCAAGGGGTGCTGGTGCCTATCTCCAGCTGTCAATGGGGGTACACCCTGGACAGGTCGCCAGTCCATCACAGGGCAACACAGAGACAAACAGGACATACAACCATCCACTCACACCTAAGCAGGATTTAGAGAAGCCAATTAACCTAACAGTCAAGTTTTTAGACCGTGGGAGGAAGCCGGAGTACTCAGAGAGAACCCACTCGTGCTCAGGGAGAACATGCAAACTCCCTGCAGGAAGGCCCCGGGCTGGGAACCCAGAACCTTCTTGCTGCAAGGCAGCAGTGCTACCCACTGTTCCACTGAGCAGCCCAGGCATTAAGTGGGGTTGCAGCCAGGGGATAAGCAATTGCTATAATTCCAGGAATGTCATAAATGCTGAGTGTTTTCCCTGGGTGTTCCTCATCCAACAATCAGAGACAGAGTTTACATGCTTTTTAAATGGGCTGTAAACACTTCAGTCTAAAGGCTGCAGCCTGTGGGAGCAGTGGGGTGGGAAGGACAACATGATGAGGCCATTTTCTTTAGAAAAGTTTAGCCCATCAACAGAGCGCTGTGAGCAGTGGTTATCTAGGAGTAAGCAGGGTTTCTCCTTTGAGCACTTGGAATGGTCAACAAAATGCTTGAGGAAATCAACGAAGTCTGGTTCTTTCATCCACCATGCTGGATTTGCTCCTCCTTTGCAGCTTGGTGGGCCATTGTTGATGAAATGATCACGAAAGTGCACCCGAGGAAATATGAAATAGGGGGGGGGGGGTGCTGTTCCCTGTGGCTGAGACTGCGCAGGTAAGGGTGACCAGGGTACCCCTTTCCCCAGATGTCAGTGACCCAACCTGCTTGAAGCCACGCCTGACTACCAATCGATCTGGTTTCTGTACTGCTGTCACTCCAGTTTCATCCATAATTTACCATGGGGTAAATTGTCACATGTGACAACTTACCCCAAAATGACTGTGACAAGTTGCCCCAAATGACCATGTTAGCTAATTATTGCACTAGCTCAGTGGTTCTCAAACTTTTTCTGTCATTCCCCACTTTGGACAAGGGGGAATTTTCAAGCCCCACCTGTCCCCATCGCCCCAACACAATGCTAATGAAATACGCAACAATCTTAAAATGTTCCAATTTTATTGAACAAGTAGTATCTAAATACAAACTATCTACATCAAAAGACAGCAAGCTCAAAAATAAAGAAAATAAAAATGCAGCTGTGTCAAAATTTGTATCAAGCTCAAAGATAGAAAAAATTAAAGTTCCACTCTGCAATCTGTTAATAAAAGAAAAGAAGTGAAATCCATCTGGCAAGACAGGTCTATTTATCCCTGCATTAGTGGCTGCAATGAGCCTGTTTTGCATTGCACAGTTTCTCAAAACGGGGTTGCAGGCTTGATACTGCCACTCTCAAGTCATGCTCAATGTTCAGCTGAGATCTGTATTTTGTTTTCATTGAAGCAACAGCTGAAAAGCCCATCTCACAGAGACATGATGTGGCAAAGGGAAGAAGAATGCACACAGCTCTCTGCCCGATGAGTGGATACTCCCTCTCCACTCCAAACCAGAATTCACTAAGAGTCTGAGCATTAAACCTGAGCCTTAGGGTGGAGTCAGACGTCATGTCAATAAACTGGTCCTATTTATTTAAGATAAAATATTTCAAATTCAGTTATTTATGATCAACCTGCGCCGTCAATCCCGGCGCATGTGCGCTTTATTTGCAGTCTGGATGCACATGCTGTGTCTCTGAGAGGACTCCTGCAATAGCGGGGGAGAACGGGGTTGGGATGGGGGAGGCGCCCCACGGCAGCACCTGCCGCTGGAGGACAAGAAAAGGAACGATACGTGCTTTCACGTAAGAGTCTCCAAAAGGCGCTAGATTTGTCGCTTTTTTGAAAAAGAGTCGCTGGAGGGGTCTGAAATATAGCGACAAAGTCGCGGAGTTGGCAACACTGGGGCGCGAAAGTTTATTTCGTTACAAATAATATGCCGACGTCACGTCAATCATTATTTTGGCACTTCAGTTCCAGGTGAAACTTTTCTCATATCTAATGTTCTGCATGTAGGCTAGTAAGGATTACTTTGTGGGTTTGATTGGTCTAAAAAGCGGCAACATACAGCTATAAGGACAGTTTGCTCTCACACGTTCTACATTTATAGTCACACGACACACACACACACACACACATCGGAACTTGGCGCGCCCCACCTGTCACGTCTCAATTCCCCACCAGTGGGTCGCGCCACACACTTTGAGAACCGCGGCACTAGCTTAACATTAGGCTAAATCAGAACAATGACTGGGGTATGACTGGATGCCTTAATATCTACTTTAACAAGTCCATATGTCTAACTGCTAGAATTCTTATCTGAATGAAGGTTATTTAAAATAATATAAATTTAATGTTTTTCACTTTAGGTAGTGGAAAATGGTCAAATGGTGCTCATTAAACTTACAATGTCTTGTCCTCTTTTCACTCAGTCTGTCAGACCTGACCATGCAAAGGAAGAAAACTAGTATTCCACTTTTTAGTTGCGCCCCCTGGTGGAGAAGATAATTGCAATATGACAACTTACCCGTGTGACAACTAGCCCCGGTCTCCCCTATCTTCTCAGGTTGATGTTCATGGTAGTGCATTAACAGAGATTATGAAGAAGCAGAATGAAATCACTGAGATGCTTGTAAAACAGCAAAGAATGTGACTTCTGCCATCTGTAGAAATCCCTGTTTTTAGTGGAGATCCTTTGCATTTCAGGTCCTTTCTTAAGGCATTTGAGCAAGGAAGGTATTGGAGGATGGTTGGGTAAATGTCTGGTGTGGACGGGAGGTTTTGAAAAATTACTTTTTTGACCACTTTTTTGGGAGCTTCAAACATTAAATTTTGTTTCTACTAACTTCCAAGTCATTCGTAGTAATTGTGTGTTTTTTTTGTTTGTACAATAAGTCAAGCTGGAAGTGCCTCCAAAAATCACCTGTTACCTTCCACGGCCTTCGTTGGAAATTTTGGTATTTTATTTTTGTTGGAACAGAAGGCTGCGACAACAGAAATGATATCCCCAGTTCCAAAACCAAATATCCTAGATCCGCATAATGCAATAAAATGATGGAATAGGCAAAAAATGGCTGTGGACATTTGAATAGTTTAAATCTTTTACAACTAAATGTATATTTATTGTTAACTTCTTATATCCCTGTTTCATGAGTGACTTTGTCTGCTCAATATGTTTCCCTATGACCAGTGTGTATGCTGCTGTTCCAACAGTACTTGCACAAGAACTCAATACCCATCTCTGTATTGTACTCTAGAAAAACAAATAGGACTATGTTACATTTACAAAGAAAACATTAAAAAAAGACACTAAAAAAGCTAAGTTTCTCTTTCTGTAGCTTGCAAACACCTTTGTGTATAACAACCCATCTCTAAAGCAAGGCATACTGGTACATTTTTGTATGACAAAGGAACAATAATGATGCAGGCGCAATAATTCACAGTATGGTGCTGTGTCAGTTGTTCAAGTGCAATGAAGTTCATAGTAGGTGGGAAAAGCATTGACTATGAAGAAAAACACTTTTTTCAGTCAGGTTTTTATTCTCTTTATGTTTTTGGAAAAAACATGACCAGCCCATTGATAGTCACTATAGGAAACAAAGCTGCTGAAATACACGAAGCTTAGGAAGAGCCTATGTTCTTTTGAGTTTGTTTTTTTTTTTTTTTCAATCGTAACAACAACAACTCAGGAAAAAAAAAAGGTAAAGTTAGTAATCTTAACATTTACATAAAACAACATGGGTAGCTGAAAAATGCAACAAAAACCTGGCTAAAAATACTAATAAAATTAAAATGAACAAAGAAAGCAAGCATAATAAGCAGGTTACACATTTCTTCTAGTTATATCTATGAGGTCTATTAAAGACTCCTGAAATTCTCTAAACTGTCGATTCACAGTGCTGTTAAACAGAACTGCAATGTCAGGGTGAAGGACACTGAACTGTTTTTCAGCTCCAATTCTCTCTTCCTCTGAGCGAAATGGGCAAGTGCCAAACAGTGACTCCCTGGTTAGTGAATTTCCCATTTCTTGCTGGTAACGGTCTGCAGCTTCAGAGGGTCCAGGCAGAAGGTCCTCAGGCACCCGCTTACGGCAACCATCTTGTGCCAAGACATTGGGAATCCCCTTTCCTTGAAAAATAAAGTCATTGAGGATGTCAATCAAATACAAAATACAACAAACAAAATAACTGCAGTGCCTTACTTCTGTAATCATACAGATTTGCAGTTATTTTACAGAGCTTCACTGCGTATATTTCTCAGGTAATCATCAGTTGGACAAACAAGAGTGAGGTTGCAGGTACCATTTTTAAGCTTTTTTATGTATTTTCTTTGGGCATCCAGTGGTTTGGCAGACAAACAGGGAAAGTTAAGTGTGTTATCTAGAAGGCTACATAAAGTGTTCTAACTTTGTTTTTCAAACACATGGACCTTACAGGGTAGCTCCCGTTAGCTTTCTGCGAACCTTTGCATTGCTGGTGTAATTTGAGTGTGTTTTTACAGTTATGACAAACGTTATCTCCACAAGGGTTTTCTACATTGATGTTTGTGTTTTCCGGTCTGCTCACTACAACTAAAATAAACACAAAGCTTTGTGGACAGATTAAAAAAGGGCAAAATTACTTTTCAAACTGTTTAAGAAAAAAAATGTAAGAATACTTTTAAAACTGTTGTTTACAGTATGAAAGGAAATGTACACACCTGGAATACGATGGGCATTCCATGCCTGCACTGCTCTTGTCATTCCTATGCTGCTGACCTTACAGCTCAAATTTGATGTGCAGTATCTCATCAATGGATCGTCCATGTCTAGCACCTCTTGGTCGACCATTTGAACAAGTGCCATTTTAACAGGGTCATTCACCCTTTGGTTTATTTCAGGCCAGATTCTCTCCACTGTATGGTTCTGTAAAAGACAAAATGCAAAATAAATAAAAAAAAATAGATGGATAAATAAGTTACAGAACAATACACAATACACACAAAAAAGAGATACCACATGAAAAGAGCACATCAATATAATCTAACATACATGGACTTAAGCAAGGATAATAGTGAACTATAGCTATACTGAATCCATGGGTTAAGTACAATAATTAGGCATCACAGGTAATGTAAACAGAGTCTGAGTCAACAGGATAAAATGATTAATCCAGGTGTATTGCTCCATCATTATCATGGTTACTGAGGTCAGGCACACTTGGATGCATAAATCATGTGGGGACAGAACATGTTTAATGATGTTTAACGGGCTGTTTAAATTGTTTTCTTTAGTTCTGTCAGCAATCTTCCTCAATGTTGCTCTCCAAAATGGTTATTGTTAAGGAACCATTGTTCAGTTTGTCCAGCACTGACTAATAGAACACTGGCAAGCCAAAAGCGTGGGACAAATGTATCATTTCTTAATAAAATCTCACTTTAGTTGATGTTGTCTGAATGTATGGCCGTCTCTCCCGGTTGTGCCTATGCTCAGCCAACAACTCCTGAACAAACAAACAGAGATAAAACTCTGTTCCATGGTCCACTCTGACCTGGTCCCACATTCCATAAGTAACGACTGCACGTCTAACAAACAAAAACAAGAGACATAATTAACATTAACATGGTTGAGTGGGTCTTCTTTAATAAAATATCTGCTATCTGTAGGGCTGAACAGTGGAGCAGTGTGTAGCACTGTTGCCTTGCAGCAAGAAGGTTCTGGGTTCAAATCCAACCATTGGTCTTTCTGCATGGAGTTTGGATGTTCTCCCTGTGCATGTGTGGGTTGTCTCTGGGTACTCTGGCTTCCTCCCACATACCAAAAACATTACTTTTAGGTTAATTGGCTTCTCTAAATTGTCCTTAGGTGTGAATGGTTGTTTGTCTCTGTGTTGCCCTGCGACAGACTGCCGACCTGTCCAGGGTGTACCCCACCACCAGCAACCCCCGTGACCCCATGAGGGATAAAGCGGATCAGAAAATGGATGGATGGATTATCTGTAGAATGCCAATTGGAATGCAATTGTATAGTGCTTTTTCACTAATGTGCTGCCAAGGGCTGCATGATATTTGGAAAACTTCTAATATGCAATAACACTATTGAGACCAATAAATAAAATACTTGGATATGCAGTGGGTACCAATACCAAAGGTGGTTGTGAAAAGTGATGCAATTAATATTTCTGGAGAAAATAAATTAAGCTCACCTGTACCCATTTTCATAAATTGACAGATTGTTTTTCACTGGCATAGTAGCGTGTGCCACTATTTTGCTGCTGAAGCCATCTATTACCAAAACATGTAAACATAGAATTTACATTTTACTTTCAAATAACATCTGCAGTTAAAAACTTAGAGATTCGCTTTAAATTACATATGCAATTTACAACGTAACAACCCTAATGTTCCAATTTAACTCGCTAACTGTCTGAACCAGTACTTTTAGCAAAGCTCTGCTGAGATTTATAAGTGGACAACGAATGTCCTTGTTATCAACTATGCTCTTAACATCTGCAGTTGGGTTTATTTTTCCCACTTGTCCTTAATTAACATTTCTGTGGGTGAGCGTCACTGGATGTAAATGATAGATGGACCTGTATTTGCCCATGAAGCTGGTTTACTTGGCACAAAAAGAGGGTATGGAAAGGTGCCTGATACTTTAATGACCAAAAAGTTTTATCAACATGAAGTCTGGTTAAGTAAGTATATCAAATTAAAATATTACGTTATATGAACAAGGGCGCCACCAGGGGGTGGCCGAGGGTGGCCACTGCCACCCCTGGCTATGCCCTGGCCCCCCCACTGGCCAGTGTAAATTGTAGTAGCATCGGTTTAGCCTTTTACCTCATTATGCAACCTCCAAAGCGCTTTACACTACAGTTTAGTCATTCATCCATTCACACACACACATTCAAACCGTGAGAAATGTACTTGTCACACTTAATGAAAAAAAGGGAAAGGTGCTAAAAGGAGGAAAGGTGGGTGTTTCCACATATGTACAGTGTATCAAAATTTAAAATAAAACAAAAGCACAGGAGAGATAAGCGGATATTTAGGGTAACTTATGTACCCTCAGGTGACATAAGTCACCTGAGGGGAGGGGAGAGAGAGAGTGTTATCACTGATGAAGTCCGCTTTTAAACTACACAAGATGCCTCACTATACCTCATGTATGGCTTCTGCAACAGCCATCTCCAAATGTTGATATAGCCTTTCTGATGAGCCCCCGATCCATACGAAACCATCTCACGCTTCTTTCTGAGGCGCCTCTCCGCATCCCCATCTCCGTGATGAGGAAGTTGGAAATCTGGATGTCAGAGTATCCATTACCAAACATTTGTTGCACGGTTTCCTCGTGCTGCAATAGGCTAGCCATTTTCAGGTATGGAAAAATAGTCAACATTTTGACATTATATGGCCTCTCGCTAACAATTAAGTGCATACTGCCCCCTACCGTCATAGCGACAGTACGTCAAGGACTCCATCTGCACAATCAGCTCAAGCAGACACACGTTGTCACATTAAACAGCAACAGGTTTTCATCTCAACCTCCATCCTGCCCAGAAATTACCCCCCTCCCCCCAACAATAAAATACATAATAATGTAATAAAGCTCACGCCTCTAAAATAAACTATCATGTTGTAACGTAAAAAGTTCATATTTTTATTTAAAAAAATATCTCTACGCTTCATTTTTTTTTTTCAGACTTGCATTATGTTAGGCTTTTATTTTTAAATATTTTCCTGCACTTCTGGGCCATCCTTGAAACCGTCTTCGTCTTCGATCCTAAAAAGAAAATGTAGAAAAGAATCGGGGAAATCGAAAAACAGGCCCTTTTTTTCATTTAGTTTTTCTTGTTTTTGATTTTAAATTGAAAAACGGAAGTAGTTTGTTTTTCGTTTTGGTTTTCTGGAAAAAAAAATCGAATTGCCTGAAGGTACACGGACCCAGAAGCTCCTTCAAGTCCATGATCAACTCTCTGTCTTCAGAGAGATCGAGTTAGTTCATTTACTCTGTTTCCAGCTGTGCTTTTCAACTTTTAAAAAGAAATCTGAGACTTGCTCTTCTCAGGGTCCATTGTTGTTTATGTTTACTTTGGTCGGCGAGTGTTACAAAATGTTATGCGTCCTGACGTCTAGTCACAAGCCTTATGTTATACTTCATTATATCTTAAAAACTAAAGCAGCACAAATGACCGTTTTAACGGCACAAACCAGCAGTAACGTAGCACTAAAAAAGTAGACCAGTTTGGATCAAATCGGAGCTTGATGGGGGGATGGTGATTTTCATCAGCCAAAAATTTAAATGATTATATCTTAAAAACTAAAATAGCACAAATGACTGTTTTAACGGCACAAACCAGCACTAACATAGCACTAAATTAGTAGACCAGTTTTAGAGAGCTTGATGGGGGGATGGTGACCTCTGGAAGACCTAAAAATTATCTTTAATATCTCTAAAACCAAAGTAGCACAAACGATAATTTTAACGGCACAAATCTGCACTAATGTAGCACTAACAATTCAGTCTATTTACTGATGTTTTTCACGTGGGTGGGGTGTCAGCTTCACGCAGCTGCACCGCACTGCTTTGTGTTGGGTACAGCGAGTCCCGCGGAACTCCCGCGGGAGTGCAGGGCTCTAGTGCAAAATACAGGATGAGCTAAAAGGAATTACATACTCATTGAGAAATTCAGGATAACTAAGATGGATACGTTTAAAAATAACAACACATTGAGGTGCAAGAGAATAGTGGCTGTAGTGTTTTGATATATAATATCACTGCAATAAAGGATGAGAAGAAGCAGTTGTGAAATATTTTTCCCAACAAAGAAGCTATAACAATTTATAGAAGTCATTTTTAGGGATAAGAAATGTAATTAATAATGGTTTGTATATGGGAGTGAGATGAAAGTGATGGATCCAGCCATAAACAGAGCTGCTATTATTGGTAAGGAGTCCATAAATTCATTTCTTTAACAGGGATTGGTTAAACATGTTTCTGATGCATCATAAGATATCATTCTGATTTGCATAACTATTTTTATGTGATTGTAGTCAGAATTGAATGTTTACTTAAATTAAATCTTTACAAATAATTCATGCAGTCAAAGATGTTTGAGAATAACCTTTGGAATAGGGGCCTTGACTGCCCCTTTTTTGATGCATCTCTGCTGCAACACACCTGAAACCAAAGGTTAAATGAGCTCCTGACATGTCAACCTGTTAAGTAGAGATGTGGACATGAATCATTCCTTTGTTTCAGGTGTGCTGGAGCAGGTACGCCATCAACAACTGCATAACAGTGGCACTCAAGGACTCTAGAAGATCGGGATATAAATGTCACTAAAAATGACATTTTCTATAAGTTGCAACATTTTTGCTAACCCGTATGGGATTAGGCTCTGCAAAAGGCAACGGTGCTTCCATTGGAACGACCCAGGGTGAGATGGTTGTTCCAAAATTGTTCTGTAAGAAAGGTCTAGATGAACATACTCCAACCAGATCATCATCTCGTCTTTGGACCAGAGTCCCTGAAAAAGAAGCTGATTTGTCAGTCAATTTATTTGGATGGGATTAATCTGATAATAAAGCAAAAAATCTTGGTGTAATTTTAGATCAGGACCTGTCATTTAAATCCCATATCAAAGAGCTTTCTAGAATTTCCTTCTTTCATCTGCTGAGTTTTGCAAAAATTAGAAATCTCCTGTCCAGGGGGTGATGCTGAGAAACTAGTCCATGCATTTGTTACTTCAAGGCTGGACTATTGTAATTCTTTCCTTTCAGGAAGTCCACAAACTGTAGTTAAAAGCCTTCAGCTGAGCCAAAATGCTGCAGCCAGAGTTCTGAATTCTGATGAAAATTTAAAATAGAGATCATGTCTCTCCTATACTAGCTTCTCTTAATTGGCTTCCTATTAAATCCAGAATAGAATTTAAAATCCGTCTTTTCACATATAAAGCCTTAAATGGCCAATATCAGAGATATCCAGGATTTTTCAAAGGGGGGGGCGCACCTAAGGGTCATGGGGTCACAGGTCAAGACAATGTAAGGCTAAAAGACCAAAGAATACCATCTTCACTCTTTCACACTACCCTAATTATTCATCCAAGGGTTTTTAATTGATAATTTTAATGGATGAACATAAGTAGAATTAGCATGATTACATTATTGTAATTAAAAAAGGATCTCTCGGTTTTTAAAGCATGCACAAGGTTAAAAGGTAGTTTGAAGAAAAAAAATTATCCTCAATTAAACAAGGAGTTTCTTTATTTCCAGAAATAATATTTACACAGAACATGAAATAAAAAAAAAACCAAGGACTTGGGTTCAAGTATGATTCTAGTAAGACAAAGGAGTTTTGAATATAATTTAACAAGATAAACTGTTGAAAAACAAAAAAACAAAGTTAAATCACACAAAGAATATTGTTCTCTGCTACTAAACTTTATGATGATAATGGGTTTACAAATGTCAACCTTCTGGGATGCTTCTGGGCAAATATGTCTATGATTTTGTTGATGTCTAACTGAATGTCCTTGTGCAAATACACAAGTAGCAAAGCCACAAACCTTTCCTGTCCCATTTTTGACCTCAGCAAAGTTTTCACTGCTTTAAGACCCGAGTTAGCACTTTCCACAGAAGCACTGGTAACAGGTATGACTGACAGAAGGTGAAGAATCATAGAAATGTTTGGGTAGCACTTCATATTTGTCATCTTTAGAATTTCAGGGAGAGAGCTGGGTTTTTCCACTGATGATGACCACTTTGTGTGCCACAACTTCACTTCCTGCCTGAATGTTGATCCTGACGGTAGATCATCTTTATATGATGTAAAAATGATAAGTCATACTTGTCTAGCCAGTCCCTCTGGCATGTTCTTTTGGTCACCCCACTGGCTCTTCGGTTGTCTTTAAATTCTCTGGCAGGGAAATTGAAAGATTTGGGTGGTTTTCTGGTCTGAAGAAGCTGGAATTTTCCAGAGTCGTCCATTTCACTAATCCGGTCCTTGGCCTTTGATATATCTGTAATAACATTGATATTTACATTGTCAATTTTGTATGGGTGCTGGTGGAGTTGGAAATCTGCCTACATGAAGCTTTTGTATAGTCTTGCTTTATTATGAAATAATTATTATGAAAAGTAAGATTTCAAGATTAAGCAAAAAAGTCAATTGTGTAAAACAAAAACAAAGTCAGTTGTTTTGACATTGAAAAAAATACAACTATTACTAACCTATGTCGTAAGTTGTTTGGGGCAAATCCGCTTGGTTGAGCGCCGGCTCTTCAGTTGTCTTTACATTGAAACACGGTCCTTGTTGTTCATCTTTAAAAGAAAATTATTTTTGTGATCAGGTGAACCTTGTAATGTCAGGAGGAGCCACAAAACAATTTAATGTTGTGTTTTTATCGTAAATTATCAAATTCACTGAACACATATCACCAGGTGCACAAAACTGAATATACTTAAATTGTATTTTTGTTGTAAAATATTAAATGCACTGAAAATAAATAACACCAGATTTGTAGTTATTATATCACAATGTTAACAAGACTCCCTTAGACTCCAAGCATGTGCTTAGAGCATTCATTGATTTGGATCCTTACCAATTGATAAAAGTTAGTCATGTTTTTATAAAGGATACCATTCTTATTTTTAGCAGTACAACACATGTGGTACAGGTTTAGACCCAAAAATACACACTACAAAATAACTATTGTATGCATGTCAATGGCAACTAATGTTGCTTATTTTTGTTAATTGTACACTCTTTTTATTACTTATCAAACACTGCAATTTTTATAACTTTCCCGTTACTGGTTAAAGTATTCCTACAATTGCATTACTTTGCATCTTTAAACAACTTGTTTATCAACAATCAACAATGTTGATAATGTTTTCTCATTATCAACATTTTCTAGCAATCATCATACCTTTTATCTGTGTGTCTCCAATATCTGAACGTTCATACAGGTCAACGCTGTGGTCATTTTCTGTAGTTGTGCCAGGTCCACTGAGGAATAGAAAACAAGATATAAACATTTCAACCTGTGTTATTTAGATTATAGACATAAGCCTATAGAAAATAAAGTGATAAAGTTGGTTTCTACTTACCCTTCTGTTGGATTGGACCAGAATCTTAAGAGATGGTTGACTGGTTTTCTTGTTTGGCCTCAAATCTTCCAGGTCTCCTCCTGCTCGCAACGACGCCATTGTGGTATGGCAAGCCGATTGGGCCAATAATCGTCCGTACAATAACGCGCAATTCCAACCAGTATTTTACGCGAGCGCGCGTTTTTTTACGTCACCGCGCGTTCTGGCTGGAAACGTGGTGACGTAAAAAAGGCGCGTAACATACGGGCTGGAACTGCGCGTTATTGTACGGACGATTATTGGCCCAATCGGCTTGCCATATCCCAAAGGGGGGTGGGCGCGCCCCCCGCCTGAATCCGCGCCTGCGGAAAGAAGAGGGGAGACGATGTGAGACAAGGCGAGCAGTTTTATGGCAAGCCAAGAAGGTCACATTTCGCATTGAATTGTCGCGTTAAGGTTGAAGTTAACGCGCGTTCTCCCGAGATTACGCCGCTTTTTACGCCGTCTTTTACCAACAAGCGCCGCCTTTTACGCGCGTCATGAGAGTACCCCAAGAGTACCGACACAACGCGCGTATTTAACGCGCGTTTTCCTAATATGATAATGATGTCCTTCCTTCTTTTCCCACAGCCAATGCATTTGAACTGGTTGCATCCAATGGTTGATCAAGGCAACCAGACCAAGAAAGTTCAGCACAGATCTGCTTTGTGGAAAACTGCACAGAGCTCAATGTTGCAGCATTGCCAGAATTCACTGCATTGCCGTTTCACAAAGCCTTAATGTTAGGAATATATCCACTACATACACTTTGCTGTCATGTTGAATCCATTCCATGCCTATTTTCATGTAAAAACGTTTTGCATCAACATGCATCACCAACTAATGTTTTGTATGTACAGGTATTAGTAGGAATGTTTCATCAATCAATATTACCGAGAGGTGGCGTAGTAGGTTAAGTGACCGCCTTCAATGCAAATCTTTTGCTTCGTGGCAGGTTCGAATCCGGCAGAGGCAGTCCGACTTTTCCCTTTATATTCTCTCTTGTCTCCAACCAAGCCCATTTATTTATTTCTGAGAATATAATCATAAATGTAGCCTACTTCACTGTTTTTGATCCATCGCCATGCATTCTGTCATGTAAAAACTTTTTATATTGTACTAATAAAATGACAATAAAGGGGACACTTCCAGAAAATTTGTCGGTCTGACTTGTTTTCTGTATATTTTCCTGCATATCACCAACCTTTTCCCATAATGCTTTATACAGCCATGGAGCTTCCGCTGTTAAAATTCAATTAACAGGAAAATTTCTTATTAAAAGTGTTATTAGTGCAATGAGAAAAAACTTGCTTAGTTGAGCCAGTGGAGGTTTGATGATCCCCATAGCTCATGTTCTCTGTGTCTCTCTCTCTCATATAATATATATATATATATACAGGTGCTGGTCATAAAATTAGAATATCATGAAAAAGTAGATTGATTTCAGTAATTCCATTTAAAAAGTGAAACTTGTATATTATATTCATACATTACATACAAACTCATATATTTCAGATGTTTATTTTGTTTAATTTTGATGATTACAAATGACAACAAATGAAAATCTCAAATTCATCATATCAGAAAATTAGAATATTGTGAAAAGGTTCAAAATTGATGGCCCCTGGTGCCACACTCTAATCAGCTAATTAACTCAAACCACCTGCAAAAGCCTTTAAATGGTCTTTCAGTCTAGTTCTATAGGCTACACAATCATGGGGAAGACTGCTGACTTGACAGTTGTCCAAAAGACGACCATCGACACCTTGCACAAGGAGGGCAAGACACAAAAGGTGGTACACAGACGTTTAAAAATGGTCTTCAAACATTTAATCTCATGAATTTGGGCTTTCACTGCCATCTACTGTCATATGAGAGTAAGTACAACTTGACGACCATAAGCTTTTTCATATTTCTTGTCATTTTAAACACTAAACTACCAAAACACAAGCCAAGTACTAGAACTAAATGTTGAAAAGAAATTAAAAGCTAAATAAAATAAACCAGGTCACTTAATAAAGCTGCATTTTTTGTATGCTTTGTATTTATATTCACATGATAACATTTTCAGAATTAATAATAACATTTCTGTTAAAGATTTCATTTATCTTCTGCACCAAGGGCATAAGTGGGGAGAACAAGCAGAGTGAGTTTTGTGTAATATCAAACTATATTATTGAAATAAACAGGATTTAGACAGGATCAGAAAGGAAGATGCATCTTCTTTCTGCCTTTC